CATGATACCATCTCAAAGTTAGCGAACAACGGAATGAATGAACTAGCAAAGTGTTGGATACAAATAGGAAACCCTAGCATCTGTACCCTCTAGAATGCAACTCACTACAGCCTATAACTATTATATTTGACACGTACTACCGAACCTTTTTTTTGCTATACGAATCCAAACTGGGTAACCTACGAATACTGTACGCGACGCGAGAAATGTTGTAGAAATTCGACCTTTGATAGTCGACCGTTTGATGTCACATGTGCTTGACTTGAAAGTTGGTCACGCGGCTCGACATTCGAATGTTGTAATACTCGACAACAGGTCGAACTACCGTATCGCCCCGGATATAATCGCAGGCCTATGTTAAGCGCATGCGCTTCTATCTGGAGCAATGCGCTTATGGCCGATCCTCAATTAGAAGCGCACCCTCTAAAAAATTGTTACTTATTATAAGCGCACCCCTGCTGTATAACAAGAATTTATGTTGAAGAATTTCACTTTATTAACAACCTACATCCAAGCTACACTTCTCTAGCTAACAATTTCACCTAAAACTTTCCAGTCAAATACATTAAACTTGAATACTAGCCTACACACCATTTTCAAGATTAGTCTAGCCTAAGGCCTACTCCTCGTCCGATTCAGGCTTCGTGGAGTTGTTGCCAAAGAACTCGTCTGCTTGGATGTCGTCATCTACCTCTACCTCGTGGGACAGCTGACCTCTCCGGTGCGCCAGCACCAGTCCGTCTTCACTCCCGTCAAGGGCATTGCTGATGCCGCAGGTGAGGAACGCTTTCTTAATCAGGTCGGCGGGCACAGCTTTCCACGCCCGTGAAATCCACTTGAGCACCACCTCCGGAGGTGGTTTCTTGATGTTCCCTGCACCACAGACACGGGGGTGGGAAACACGTGAGTCCACAAGCAAGCAGACAAGCAGACGAAGCGGTCACGGGAGAACACTTTGCGTACCTGCGGGTGTCAGGATGTTCATGCCGTCCTGCTCGAACCAGGTCTGGTACTGCTGCCGAACACTCGCCTTGAAGCTTTTGTTGACCGACACATCGAGCGACTGCAAGTCTGCCGTGCATCCCGCCGGGATGACCGCCGGCACGATGTTGAGTTCCGCGAATTTCGCCTTGACTTCGGGTGTAAGGTGACCACGATAGGAGTCGAGCACCAGCATGGCGCTCCGGCTCTGCAATCCGAACTTCAGTTTCAGGAACGGCACCACGCCTGAGGCGAGCCACTCGATGACGCCTGAGGCCTCCATCCACCCGTTAGCTTGGCAGCCGACCGCGACATCTGCATACAAGCAAGCGGTGGTTAGATTTTAATTTTGTTTTTCCCCTCGGAAACACGCGCATACGCAGCTTCTTACCGTTCGGGAAGTCACCCTTTGGGAGGGTCTTGCGCTTGAAATACACCCACGGCTTCAACTTCTCGCCCGTCGCCGTGCACGCCAGCATCACAGTGACTCTCTCTTTCTGGTAACCACCGCTGCGGATGGGCACCGACTTCACGCCCATCTGCTCCACCGTGGTAGTCGCCGGCATCTCCAGCCACAAAGGCGTCTGGTCGGCATTGATGATGTAACGATTGTCGATGTCGTACTCGTGGCGTGCGTCGCGGACGAACTGCCAAAATTCCTTGCACTGCTTCGCCACGTCTGCGCACGGGGAGGGAGGGACGGTTAAAAGGGCGGATAAGCACCGCTACAGATAAACATACATGGGCAAGAAAGTACAGAGATACAAGATAAAATTTCACGATAGGATGACATTGCACGGACAGGCACTTACGCTGCTGTGTCTTTTGTGCCACCTTTGTTTTCATGCGCACGGTGAGATTCCACCGCTTGCGGAACCGCTCCGTCCAGCGCTGACTCGCCTTCCACTGGACATCCGGGAACAACACCTTCATCACCTCTTTTGACCAGTCTTGCAGCCGGCCGACTGATACTGCCACACCGCGGCGTCGCCAGTTCAGGAGTTGGGCGTACACCTTCATCTCCATGGGTCTGTACCAGGAAGACCTTCCGCGCCCATGAAGTCGACACCGAGCGCTGTGTGCAGCCTTGAGCTCCTCCGCTTGGTTTTTCCACTCCGTGAGGCATTTGCGGTGTATGCCGGACTCCCGCGCGACCTCGCTTATCGATGCCACAAGCTCCAGCCGAACGAGCCACTTCAGTTTCTCCTGGGCAGTGTAGCGTTGCCGTTTGTGTTGAGTCGGCTTGTGCCTGGGAGAGGGGGGGCGGGTGCGGAGATTAACTCTACAACGGTGGGAGCTAGACTATGGGGTAGGCACGAGTTGTCAGAGTGATCGTAGCTCTCTCTGTGTTCTCTAGGACTTATGTTTTCATAGGGCAAAACAACAAGAGTTTCACTAAGGAATGTTGAGAATACAGAGTTCAGAATGAGAACAAGCAATGGCAAAGATTGACTACATCACATGCAAGGTTTGCTAGTGCTCAGGCAGGTCGACTGCCAGCGTGATAGAGTTGTCGACCTGCCAACCCAGCACCTCCGCGGCCCGCCAACGCAGCTTGTGTGCGACTTGCCAACGCTGCAGATGGCGGCCTGCCAACGCTGCACCCGCGCGGCTTGCCAATGCTGCATCCGCGCGGCTTGCCAGCACTGCATCCGCAGGTGATTGTAAGCGCATGTGCAAGCACCTACTTCGCAGGTGCTTGTAGACAGTTATGCACGACGTGCACTGTCGCACACATTGCGCAGGTTGTCAGCCACATGCTGACGGTTGCACCTGATGAGCCACGTCGACCACGTGCTGCCACGTCGGTCGACTTCGCCACAGCAACCTCGACGACGTTCGCGACCCTCCGCAGAACCTCGTCGAGCAGGTAACTCGGTCGACCAGGTAATGCCCTTGACAACCCTGCAGGATGATGACCTTCGTCATCACCAGTTGACGACCTTCGTCGTCGCGGGTCGACGACCTTCGTCGACCACCTTCGTCGAACACCTCGGTCGACATTTCAAAATGTCAGCTCCTCATTGGTCGAAATTAGGGCACATTCGAATTTCTGGCCAAAATTCGCCTGTGCAGTCTCAAGGGTGCGCAGGGTCAGACGCGACCCTGCGCAGACGAACACCCGCGAACCTCTGCACGAGTTGCACCACTTGTACATGTGCACGAGACACCTGTGTTGCACTCGCGGATGCTTCAGTTACTCTTGCATGGATTCCCTAATACACCTCGTGTACAGGCAACCCTTGTACACCTGGAGAAGGTCGGCTGCACCTCCCGCACACCCGACCACGAAGTCAGTTTTGTCCATGCAAGGGCGGGGCCAACTTCCTTCAACAGCGGGCATCTCGGTTCTCAGAGGAGGGGTGGGGTCGTTTTTTGTTAATCGGCGGATACGTTCGTATCGGCATCTTCTCGCGTGGTGCGTCGCGCCACCAAGATTCCACACCGTCGTCGTCCGCGTCTGTAGCTTCACGATCTGGGAACACGTCCTCCTCGGCGCCTTCTTCACCGTCGACTCCACCGTCGCCTCCACCGTCGCCTCCAGTGTCGCCGTCGCGTGTGGGTTGTTTATCGGCGGCCACGTCATCGTCGGCGCCTACAGCCGACTCGTCCCACGTGCAGGCTTCAGGATTTCCCCACCGCGGTGCAGTCGGCGGAGCATCGATTCGCTTAGCCTCGGGTGTGTCCGGTTCAGACAGCCACTCATCGAAAGTGGCTGGCAAATACAGCTGGAGCATGGGCCGTTGGTGAGAATTCGCGTCAGGAACAGGACTCGGAGGATTCGGAGGAGCGGGAGGAGCAGGAGGAGCAGGAGGTGCAGGAGGAGCAGGCGGAGCAGGCGGTGCAGGGGGTCTATGTGGCACTGGAGGCACTGGTGGCTCACGGGTATACCACCCGTCCGCGGTTAGTCGCCACGCGCGAGCTGGTTTCTTCTTGAAAAGGAAGTGCGTCCCACTGAATTCCGCCATGGCTTCGCCAGCCAGGCGGCCTAGACTAGAAACTGAATGAAAAAAATGAGGAGGAGGGTGCAGAAATGGGCAACGACGGGGACCCTTGCGGGCTAGCGGCTCGGGGTCCTCGTCAATGTCAGGCAGGAAACCCCCGCCTACCCCCGTAGAGGAACCTGCGTGGCAGCATATTCTCTGCGCAGGCAGGGAATCTTCCCCACCCTTTGAGAGGGTTCGGAAGAAATGCAGATGCCACGCAGCGCATGCGGCTGTGATTGGGCCGCACGGCAACATCCCCGTCACTGCTGTCACTTTCGATGGTTCTAGACAACTTTGTGCGGTGGGAAACCGAACCGCGGCTGTTTTTGCCTGAAAACCATGCACGATCCCACTTGTTGCATGGTCCGTTGGATTCGCCTTATTGCGGGCTTCAGTTTAGTATGTTTAAAAGTGAATTTCATTTTTCCCTTATTATAGGCGCATGCGCTTATACAGACACCTCAATTAGAAGCGCACCCCCCCAAAAAACACTGTTTTATTATAAGCGCACCTGCGCTTTTATCCGGGGTAATACGGTAAGTTCAAGTGTGAAAAGTCGAATTTAATTCGTATTGCCTTATTATGAGCAATCGAGTGAGCAATTCTTAGAAGTGGCTAACGGATATTTTTAAACTGCTTCAGATATTCGGTGAACCGTTGATTGGCTCACGACGCCAGTCCGTCAGTGGATTTTATCGAGCAACCTGTCACTCCCATCACAAGCAACGCAAAATCTGGCTTTGGTTTGGTTCCCCGCTGTGCCCCTTGCTTCATCGCCTCTCCTACTCCGCGTGCCCCTTTTTGCTTCATCACTTGAGGCAGAGTTCCGCACGTGGAGCTCAAAAACATCACCATTGCTGTATTACGAAGTGATATTACGAAGTGATATTACAAGTGATATTACGAGTAGAGTCTCGCCTTCGGCCTCGTACTTTGCAAAGTACATCCAACTCATAGGTCGACGAGCTCTGTTGTCGTGGAGCGTACTCTTAATTTAACTCATTGTTACTCTCGTTAGAGTCATATTTCAGAATGAAACAGGAGCAGCACGAGGTAGCGAGCACGGACAACGTGACTCTGTGCGTCAAGACATGGCCGGCGCGGCCGAGCTTCGACGGGGACAACGAGCAGCGGCAGAAGCAGGCGCTGATGGCGGTGATCGTGCATCCCTACTCGCGCATGGGCGGCTCGCAGTTCGTTACGCAGGGGCTGGCCGAGTACCTGTGTCTGCGCGGGTTTAAGTGAGTTTCCATTTTCCTTGGAGCCGCTTGAGGCTGAATCAGTAGCAGGCGTTGCTGCTGACGGCGACGCGCTGCAGGAGGCGGTTGCGGAATGCCGTTGGCTGCGCGCGGGTTTTAGTGCGTACCTGAGGTTTACAAAACGCTTTCTTAGATAAGCTACATATTATGCACAATCCATTATGGAGGTGTGTCGAAACGTTCGGCATACCCGTTACAGCCGATGACACTGCTGACGTGCTCAGATGGCATCATGGCATCCGTGCTCAGTCGGCGTCCGCGCTCGACTAGGCAGACGCAACTAGCCAAACGTTTGTGTTTTAGGGAAGCGAATTAGGCGCGGGATGAACGAGAGGAGAGATTATTCGCTCGGATTACCACGCGAAATCTTAATGTAAGCTCGTTACCGCACGCGGTGTTACAATGTAGGTCCGCCTCCCCTCCTCTCCTCCCTTCCTTATATCCCCTCCTTCCGTATCTCCTCTCCTCGCTCCCTCGCGCGCCACCAACTGCTCGCTGCCTGAACTCTGCGCCATTCGAGGCGCCTCAGAAGCCTCCGCCACGGTTCACTGTGGCGGCGTTTGATTGGACGGGCGCAGACAAACCATCCAGCGAACCGACCAGCTGATTTCCTTCCTCGCTACCTTCTTCCCCTACTTCCCACACCCCGCATTCCACACACCCGTCAGCGTGGTAACTTTCGACCTGAGGGGCGCGGGAAAGCCCAAGCAATCGGCCCGTCAGCCGTTACTACCTCCCTCATCGCCATCTCACTCCCCCGCCCCCCCCTCCCCTCTTTCCTCACACCCGTCAGCGTGGTGACGTTCGACCTGAGGGGCGCGGGCAGGTCAACCAATCGACCCGCCAGCTGGTTACGTCTCTCATCGCCATTTCTTTCCTTCCCCCCTCCTCCCCCCCGTCCTCACTCACACACCCCACCCACCACACCCCGTCAGCGTGGTGACGTTCGACCTGCGGGGCGCGGGCAAGTCGACGGGGCACGCGTCGTTCACGGGCGAGCCCGAGGTGGCGGACGTGATGGCCGTGTGCCGCTGGGCGAGCGAGAAGTACGGCCAGCGCATATTGCTGGTGGGGTCGTCCGCAGGTGAGAGAGTGGTTCTGCTGAGCGCGTGGTGAGCGCAGGTAAGGGAGTGGTGAGCGTGGAGGTTGTCCGCAGGTGAGCGCGTGGTGCTTCTCTGGTCGTCCGCAGGTGAGCGCGTGGTGCAGCTTCAAAACACCCCAGGTGCATGAAACATGCTAACATGTAAAGTGATACTGGATCGCACCACCCCACTGTGATCGCACCACCCCACTGTGATCGCACCACCCCACTGTGATCGCACCACCACACTGTGATCGCACCACCCCACTGTGATCGCACCACCCCACTGTGATCGCACCACCCCACTGTGATCGCACCACCCCACTGTGATCGCACCACCCCACTGTGATCGCACCACCCCACTGTGATCGCACCACCCCACTGTGATCGCACCACCCCACTGTGATCGCACCACCCCACTGTGATCGCACCACCCCACTGTGATCGCACCACCCCACTGTGATCGCACCACCCCACTGTGATCGCACCACCCCACCGTGATCGCACCACCCCACCGTGATCGCACCACCCCACTGTGATCGCACCACCCCACTGTGATCGCACCACCCCACTGTGATCGCACCACCCCACTGTGATCGCACCACCCCACTGTGATCGCACCACCCCACTGTGATCGCACCACCCCACTGTGATCGCACCACCCCACTGTGATCGCACCACCCCACTGTGATCGCACCACCCCACTGTGATCGCACCACCCCACTGTGATCGCACCACCCCATTGTGATCGCACCACCCCACTGTGATCGCACCACCCCACTGTGATCGCACCACCCCACTGTGATCGCACCACCCCACCATGCCCTCACCCTACAGGCCGTGCTGCATCTCTTCATCACTGGGGCGTATTCCGCACTCAGATGTCCCTCGCACCCACTCCTATCTCCCATCCTCTTCCCCCCTTCCTCCACCCGCTTCCCGCCCCCACTACCCGCCCTTCCCCTTTCCGTCCTCCTCCCACCCTCCTCCTCCCTCCCCCACACGCAGGAGACCCCACTGCTGGCTCTGCGCTGCCCACACTGCCCGCAGGTGGACCTATACGAGGTCATCGGCTTCCCCTGGCCCTCACACCCACCCTTATTTCTCTCCCATCCTCTCCCTCCTTCTTCCCCTCCCTCCGCCTCCTCTCAAACCTCCTCTCCCCAACTGCAGGAGCACCCATTGCAGGCTCAGCCCTGCCGCACTGCCCACAGGTGGACCTGTACGTGGGCGTGGGCTACACCTTTGGCTTCTTCTCCTCGCTCGTCTTCGGCTCGCACTACGCCAATGTGCTCACCTGGCCGGGCCCCAAGCTCTTCATCATGGGCGCCAAGGACGGGTTCACGAGCACCAAGACGCTCGAGACGAAGGCGGGCAAGGCGGTGGGCGTGGCGAAGGTGAGCATTGTGGAGGACGTGGGGCACTTTGGGCTCGAGGGCCCCGCGTATGACGAGGAGGTGGCCAAGCGTGTGGTGGAGTTTGTGGCTGAGCAGGCCAATGCTGGTGCTGGTGGGGAAGGGGGTGGTGGTGGGGAGGAGGGTGCTGGTGGGGAGGAGGGGATCAAGGAGAGTGATAGCTAGGTGTTGGGGTTGAGGAGCTGACGTACCAAGAGGTGTTGTTGGGAAAATTTGTTGGGGGAATTCATTGCTCGACTGGTGATTGGGGATGGTGGGAAGGGGGCAGTCGCCAGGGGGGAATGAGATAAAGAGAGCAGTCCTATGGTAATGATATATATACCACAGAGTGCTCTCCTGGCATTTAGTTTTGACATTTACGGTAGTTTTTGTAAACGGTTGGGTAAATTATTGTCGAAGAAACTAGAGTAGCGTAGGATCCATGTTAGGAAGAGAAGCGTGAGAGATATCGAGAGATGGGAAAGAGGGCTTCAATATTGAGAAAGTTCCAAGATATAGAGCAGGGGGAAGGGGGCATAGCGGGGTGCACCACCAATAGACAGAACACCTAAATGATACTACACTAATTGCCTAGCATGCAGAGATATATATACATATAATTCTTGCGGAGATTCACTCTACAATGGTCAATGGTGGGAGCTAGACTACGGGGTAGGTAGGCACGGAGTGTGAGTGATCGCAGTGTTCTTTGTGTTCTCTAGCACTTGCGTGTTCACGGGGCAAACCCGGCAAGAGTTTCACTACTAGCAAGAGAATTACACAATGATTGAACAAGCAATGGCAAAACTGACTATATCACATGCAACCTAGCACACACGCTGGTCGACTGCCAGCGCAGCAAGGTCGTGTCAAGTGTTGTTACCGTATATGCTCTTAGGCTACAGTACCGTAAGTAGCACTCTAGGGAGTACAACACTTTTAGGGTTGCTAATTGTATCCCTTGCTTTCCTAGTTCACACATTCCGTTGCATTCCATTTCTGAGATGGTATCACGAGTAGGTTTAGAATCCTTGCCAAGCCTAGCATAGCTCACGCCCTCGAGCCCTCCGCGCCCTAGCGCGCCTCCGCGCCTTACGCGCCCTCCGTCAAGCGCCCTAGCGCCCTCCGTCACGCGCCCTAGCGCCCTCCGTAACGCGCCCTTTGCGCCTCCGCGCCTAGCCCTCCCCTACGCGCCCTCCACGCCCTCCGTATCGCGCCTCCGCCCTAGCCCGTCGCGTACCGTCATCACCCGGATATAAGACAGTGTTGAATAGAAGACAGGGGTTGTCTATTATCCGGGTGTCTCTTATAAACGGAATAGCCTCATTATAAGACACCTATTTGTGTGTACGAGTTAAGCCAGTGTAGGGGTTAGGGGCAATTGTATAACGAGGGGGTATCTTCTAAACGGTTCTTTGTCCATTTATAAGACATATAAGGCACCCTAAACCGTCCCAAATACAAGACAACCCAAGCATTTTTGCCCGTGTACGAGATAAGACATATATGTCTTATATCCGGGCGATGACGGTAGCCCGTGCGTCCTACCCTAGCCCGTCGCGTAGCCCGTGCGCCCTACCCTAGCCCGTCGCGTAGCCCGTGCGCCCTGCCCCAGCCCGTCGCTTCGCCCGTGCGCCCTGCCCCAGCCCGTCGCGTAGCCCGAGCGCCTTGCCTATTTGTCGCGTAGCCCGTGCGCCCTACCCTAGCCCGTCGCGTCGCCCGTGCGCCCTGCCCCAGCCCGTCGCGTAGCCCGTGCGCCCTACCCTAGCCCGTCGCGTAGCCCGTGCGCCTTGCCCCAGCCCGTCGCGTAGCCCGTGCGCCCTAACCCTAGCCCGTCGCGTAGCCCGTGCGCCCTGCCCCAGCTCGTCGCGTTGCCCGTGCGCCCTGCCTCAGCCCGTCGCGTCGCCCGTGCAGAGCAACGCGCGCCCCTGCAGTGCAGCGCGCGCTGACGTACAGGGCAGCGCGCGCCCTAGCAGAGCAACGCGCGCCACCCGGGCATAGCAGCGCGCGCCCCTGCCCAGGAACGCGCACCCCTGGCTAGACATGCGCGCCCCAGCACCTCACGTACCTTCCTTGCCACCCACACCTCCTCCTAGCCGCCCACAACTCCTCCTAGCCGCCCACACATCCTCCTAGCCACCCACACCTCCTCCTAGCCGCCCACACCTCCTCCTAGCCGCCCACACCTCCTCCTAGCCGCCCACACCTCCTCCCAGCCGCCCACACCTCCTCCTAGCCGCCCACACCTTCTTCTAGCCGCCCACTGGCACCTCGCAGCGGCTGGCACCTCTAGCGCGCCACGGCCCGTAGCAGGCCGTTCTCGGGTTTCCTCACCGTCGGTTTTCCGTTCTCTACCGTTCCTTCATTGGGTTCACCGTTCCGCCGCGGCTGGAGGCCGCTACTCCTCGCCTCGTTTCACCTGGCGCTCCTCGTTGTTCTCGCTCCTCGCTCCAGCCGCTCCTCGAGCCCGTAGTTTCTAGCCTGCCGTTTCTAGCTCCGGCCGTGTCTCACTCCAGCCGTTCCTGCTCCAGTCGCTTTAGCTCAGTTTGCTCCGTGCTCCGGCAGTTCCTCGCCTAGTTTCACCATGGCGTCCACTAGAGTTCTCCAGCAGCAGGGACAGCAGCAGCGGCCGTTTCAGCAGTGGGAACCTCAGCAGCAGTGGCGCCCTCAGCAGCAGTGGCACCCTCAGCAGCAGTGGCGCCCTCAGCGGCAGTGGCGCCCTCAGCAGCAGTGGCGCCCTCAGCAGCCGTGGGGCCCTGGTGGTTCGGGTAGCGTTGGCTGCAGCAGCGGCCCAGCCAGCTGGGGGGCTCGTCTCGGTGGTCGCGACGTCGGCCCCTGCCAGTACCGGATCCTGACTGGCCCTGGTGCTGGCACTACCTGCTGGCGTCCTGACCACTCTGCACACCGCTGCTACAGTCGCCTCGACGACCTTTACCGTGAGCGTTTTGGGTCTGAGTCGAGGCCACCGATCTGGCCCGGTCTGTCTCGTAGTGGTTACCCTGCGTTTGATATGTCTATGAATGCTATTTATTCTGTCATGTATGGGTCTCTTGGCTTGCGTGTACCCAGCTTAGGCTCTTTGCCTGTTGCTAGTGTAGGTACTTGTGCTTTTAGTGTAGGTGCTTGTGTAGTCACTAGTCCAGCCGTGACGACTTCTGTCGCGTCTCTCTCCTTCACGCTGGACTCAGGCGCGTCGAAGTGCTTCTTCCGCGACCACACTACTGTCACACCTCTTTCGGCTCCAGTCCCAGTTGCCCTGGCTGATCCTAGTTCAGGACCAGCTGTCGCTCGTAGCTCCACCACTCTCCCATGCCCGGCTGTCCCTTCTGGTTTCCTCACTGGTCTCTACATCCCCTCGTTCTCTAGGAACTTAGTGGGTGTTGGATACCTTCAGGACCGTGGGATCACAGTCACTTTTCCTGCGCACGGGAGGACGGCGATCTGTACTGACGCTTCCACTGGGGCACTTCTTGCCACGTTCACCAGGGAGCCCCACTCAGGTCTCTTTGTTATGCACACTACGTCCTCCCAGGTAGCAGAGTCCGGTCAGGTGACTGCGTCCCCCCAGGTAGCAGAGTCCGGTCAGGTTACTGCGTCGCATCCGGTTGCTGTGTCTAGTCAGGTTGCTGCGTCTGGTCAGGTTGCTGCGTCTTGCTCCTGTCGGTCTCTCGCCCACCCGACCGTCTTGTGGCACCACCGTCTTGGCCACCCGTCGATCCCCCGCCTCCGCAGCATGGCTAGTCACAGTCTTGTCTCAGGTCTCCCGCGCGTCTTTTCGTCGCTCCCTCCCTTGCTTGCTCCACCTTGCACTCCTTGCGTCGTCGGCCGCCTGCGCGCCACTCCGCACTCCTCCTCTCTTTGTCCGGCCACTGCTCCCTTCCAGACTCTCCACTTGGACGTCTGGGGCCCTGCCCCCACGCTGGGACCTGAGAGGGAGCGCTACTTTCTAGTGGTCGTTGACGACCACTCCAGGTACACCACGGTGTTTCCTCTCACGAAGAAGTCCGAGGTGACTTCTACGCTGATCCGGTGGCTTCTGGCCACTGAGGGCACTCGTGATAGTCGTGTCCGTTGTCTCTACTCCGACCGTGGGGGTGAGTTTCGCTCCGGCGTCCTTGCCGGGTTCTGCGGCGAGCAGGGCATCAGACAGTCCTGGACGATGCCGGAGTCCCCACAGTAGAATGGGGTTGCTGAGCGCTGCATTGGCTTGGTCATGGACATCATCCGCACGTCCATGATCCATGCCCGTGCGCCCCATTTTCTGTGGCCCTACGCGCTGCGCTACGCCGTGCACTAGCTGAACCTCCAGCCGCGTGTCTCGCAGCCAGAGGTTTCACCGACCAGCCTTTGGACTGGGTCCCCTGGTGTTGGGTCGGCCTTTCACGTATGGGGCTGCCTTGCGCTTGTCCGTGACACCTCTGCGGACAAGCTCTCGGCTCGCGCCATCCCCTGTGTCTTCCTTGGTTTCCCGATGGGCTCTCTCGACTACTCCTTTTACCACCCGCCCCTCCACCAGTTTCTCGACTCTCGTGACGTCCGGTTTGACGAGTCCGTGTCCTACTACACACGGTACCCCTGTCGAGGTCTTCCGGTTCCCCCTCCCCCCCTCTTCCTCGCACCCTCTCTTCTCCCTGCTCCCGCTCCTCCGGTCCCCCCACCCCCCCCCTGGTCCTGCCCCGTCAGGTGTGTCTCACGCTACCCCTCTACCCTCGGTCGCGCGTCAGGTACCGTCTCCCTCCCCGCAGTCCTCCTCACAGTCCCCTCAGCAGCCTTCGGCACTTCCGCGACAGGTTACTGTGGACTCGGTTGGTTTTGGAGCTGGAGGTGCAGCCACTGGCGGTACTTGGTCTGGGGGTGCTCGTTCGAGGGGTGCTGGAGCTAGAGGTGCTGGCACAGGCAGCGCTAGCTCTGGGGGTGCTGGAGCTGGAGGTTCTGGCACTGGAGGTGCTAGTTCGGGGGGTGCAGGAGCTGGAGGTGCTGGCGCAGGTGGCGCTAGTTCTGGGGGTGCTGGAGCTGGAGGTGCTAGCGCAGGAGGCGCCAGTTCTGGGGGTGCAAGAGCTGGAGGTGCTGGCGCAGGTGGCGCTAGTTCTGGGGGTGCTGGAGCAGGAGGTGCTGGCACTGTAGGAGCTGGACTGAGGAGACAGGAGCTGGAGGCACGCCTACTACGCCTCCTCACCGCTACGACA